GCTTCCGTCCAGCTTTCTCCAGCTGACTCCTTGATTCCCTCAAAGATCAGGTTTTTTTCACTTGGACTGTACTTCCAAATGCTCCATTTTATCTGTTATGGCTATTTGACTCTGACAAGTTTTGTAGACATCATCCCTTGTTTCCTTGGTTTGTATTTTCTGTTCACCCATGGCTGCTTTAATCACATCCACATCTCGCTGGGTAAACTGCAAACTCGCTTTTATCTCCTGTATTTCTCTGGTCACGTCGTCGAGTCTCTTGTTATTTGTCTCCATAAGTAGTTGCACAAAACCTTTGAAGTTGTCTTGTTGTTGGCTCAACAGTGCAGTGTACATCTGCTTCTGCTGACTCAACATCTCTGTTACTTGCGCCGCTGAAATATAATCCTCTTCTGCTTCAACATCCTCGTTCGCTTCTGATTTATTAGCTCTTTTCCCTCTTGGAGGCATTTTAATAGTTGTAGAATTTGTTCAAAGACTTGAAAATGTAGAAGATGTGAAAAATCGTAGAACAGACAACATTTGCTCTCAGATCCTCTCTAATTAGCAAACATTTTTAATATGTACTCACATATACTTCTGGAAACTGTCTCCACTTAAGTTTTTTGGGGAAAAACTTTTTTAATTCTGACAAATTGGTTAAAAAACACTGGAAAGTACCTTTTTTGTTTATGCAATACTTCTGTTATGCATGTTGTGCAGTTAAAATTGATGAATAAATATTTTCCTTTCCTGAATAAATGCCTGTGAATGCAACTAGTCTGTTTACATATGGTTCAATAAGAGATCAGTTTATCCAAATGCAATATACTACCCATATCTAACATACCTCTGCATCATTCCTTTGATGTCAAACAAGGTCCTTGGAAACCTCCCACAGGAACTTTATCCAACACTAAAGGACATTACATATTCTCAGATTATAGTTTTAATGACGTCCACAACCACTAGAAGGGAACACCAATTTAATTGACAGGGTTTGGATTGTGTTGAAAAGCCAAAACTTTTGCCACATGTAAACCAAATGCATAACACTTGAATAATTACTCTGACAACATTTTATGCAAGTATAGTTTGTATTATAGGAAAACACAATCCACTGTAGTGGTATGGGTGTCATCATTTGGTGTCCTTTAATCATTTTTTTGGACTGTCACTTGGTGGTGCTGTTGTGCCCTGAGTTGTCTGTGTACTTGCCGTTTCCTCAACACCAGAGGCTCCTGCTGAGCCTGAAGCTTCGCTAACTTGACTCTCAGTGTCATCACCAGCCTCAGACTCCCCTGCTACATCAGAAACTGTCTTCAAGACTGCTGCTTCCTCATCAGCAGCTTCTAAAGTATCTGCAGCTGCCTGCAGCTGCCTTTGAGCTTTCAACTGCCTCTGATAACTTGCAGACGGGTCCTCGTATGGCACCAGTGACATGGGGATGCGAACTCTGTCTATTCCATTAACCTGAAAGAAAACGGTGTGAAAAATATTCTGTTTGCTTTATGGTAAAATACAACCTGCTTCTCTTCAGTAAGCTTTGAATTGTTTTTGCACATTACTTATATGTTTTGCTTAAGCAAATGAAATGGCTTTGAATGAAAAACAAAGAAAGGAACACCAAGTCGCTTCAATTCATAGTAACATGATCAGGTGCTTTTTGGAAAAGTACATTTGTAAAAACTAACATTTTGTTAACTCCTTGTAAGTTGTTTGGAACCAGTTTCTACTAGCTGCTAAAACGCACCTATAGATTGGAGGTGCACTTGCAACAAATGATTGATAATAAAAAAGGAAATGTCTTACCGTAACTTCACACCAGTAGTCACCCAATTCCTTAATCGGTTCAAATGGAAGACTCAGTGCTTGAGGTGGTACAACAACTCCCAGCTAAGAAAAGGTTTTATTAAAGTGAATAAACACTTGTGCTGTAAAATTGGACATTTCTGAGTGTTTTGACTCAATAATTTAATATGTAATAAGTAAATAAGGATAAGAACACTCAGCATGATGACAATCATACCTTTTTGAGAAACTGTCTGCAGACGACCTCTTTAACGAGTTGGAATTCAGCACAGGGCACTTTCATTATGTTCAACTTCGAGCGTTTAAGGAACTCCACCGTCTGTAAAAACACCCAAGAAAACTGTGTTAAGAAACTGACAGCTTTTATTCTGTTTTTTTTTTTCCTCACTCCTTAATAACATGACCAATTTGAAAAAAAAAAAAAAAAAAACTTTTCAAATATCTTCCATAGACAAAGACTCACTAATTGTCCAGTGCGGGTTTGGATTCTGTCCTCCGGTTTTCCCTCATGCAAAAGCTGTAGGTAAAAAAAAAAAAAAAAAAGAAGGTGACAATAATCAGGGGCTATACATTCCTAAATAATATGGGTGAAATAAATGACCATTAAAATGCAATACACACTTTTAACTCCTCAGCAAACAACTGTTTGTTCTCTGGTGATGGATACACTGCGAGGCCTTGGGGCAGCAGCTTATTTCGGCCAACAGACTTTTTCACAAACACAGTGTCTCCTCTCCCACCGAGCTCTGCCAGAACAAAATTATTTTCATTATATACAGTTTTACTTGTGTAAATAAAATATTTAAATGATTTTTTTTTAAGTTTCCTGTAACAACTCTAAAATCCAGAGTTTGTGATCAGTCCCACAATAGAAAGAAACCAAGATAAACAATAAACCAGAGGAAAGGCTTAGCTTAACGATAAAACAAAGATGATGCTGGCTCACCCTGCAAAGCTGTTCTGGAGCTCCCCAGTCAGGACCTCATATTCATATTATTCAGTGTGGAAATATTATTTGTACACTCCCTGTTTTTCTTACTTACTGGTTTAAATCTCCTCCTCACCCCCTATATTACATTTATTTTCCCCTCCCTCCTTTTCAAAAAATTACTTAATTTTTTTTATTTTAAATGTTATATAGAGTTGAAAACACCCACACTTCACACAAACCAAATGTAAAACCCTCCATCTCTTTTGTAATGTCCTGTATCTATTGACTTGTCTTCCATGGTCTGTCCTGTTTTGTTACCATGCTACAGCTGTGTTGCAAATATATATATATAAAAAACACGTCTATGTGATCTGTCAAGAACACTGGAGGTACCCACTTGGTACTGTCTGAGTCAGGATGAGCTCCATCTTCTCTTTGGGACTGTGCTTGGTGTCTTCAACCAGCTTGTAGATTCTGTGTCTTCGTGGATGAAGCCTTGGAGGACTGCCTACTTTAGACAAGGGGACTTGCCACCATCGCTCCACCACAACTGTGTTCTGTGGAAACATCCAAGGCAAGCTCCCAGAAATGCTCTCATACTGTAATGATTTATAGTCTATGCAAAAGTTATGCTGTGTGGGTTTACTACTACTGTCCTTGTAGTTATGAAGTAAAAACATGTACTGAGATGGTTATATGTATACAACCCCATTTAATCATAACACTTTTTTTTTAATTTTTCTAAAACCAGGAACAGCTTGTTTATACACTAACTAGTCAAGACGTTGTAATGCAATCCTATGGGCACACTGTTCACTTGGATTTATATGTATATTTATTACATTCTTCTGGTTTTAATATTTTTATCTGGCATTCTCTTGTACTTATCAAGTTCTCCAGATAAATTACATGTTTAGTTGTTGTTTTTTTAAGGGAAAAGACGACTCTTTGACCTTGCCATGCCACACAAGGCCAAATTAGTTGTTAAATTCTATTCAACATACACAAGCACAACCCAGCAGGTTGTCATACAGCATGTTACATTATCTACTAAACGTAAACTATTTTAAAATTTAAGGAAATAGTCAGTTGTAATGATTACGACCGATTTAACATTAATGAGCGCCGGCTAAAATGCTAGCCGCCCCGAGTTAAAGCAGTTTTAACGTTGACAAACATCATTCATATTTGAACAAGTACAGACACTAACCTGAGTAGGAGTCAGAGAGAAACTCCTCACAGAAGACTGGCAGAGCAAATCGTGAAGGGCACGGCGGCCTGAGCTCCACATGTTCAGTCAACACCGTAGATAAGCACCGTCCACGGTTTTATTGACACGTATCACTAGAGTTGAACGCAGCCTTTACATATGTACAAATACTATCAATGTATTCCTCATTTACACTTCAGCTCACCACAGAAAGCATGTTAGCCATTACATACAAGCTAACTGAAGTAACACGTAACAGGACCCACCAGCTGAAATAGTTGTCCCGACAAGAGCCTGTCGAAAAATAATATATATTTATCACAACTAACTTTATTCATTTTCAATCAGTGTGAATACTTTATTACAACTCTAATGTAAATTTCTGATTTTTTAGTGTTATTAAAGATGATTACAAAAAGGGAAATGTCTGGTAGGAAAAAGTGCACAATCAAACAGGGATGACCACAGCCAGTAATACAATGTGATTTGTAGTCTCAATGTGCCAAAGAATGTGAGAGTACTCATATGGAAACTCAGTATTTTTCTCTGGACTGTAGTGAAATGAAACTATAAGGTTGTATGAAATGGAAATAAAACACTTGCATAAATGCCTGATTCCATGCAAAAATATAGTTTGGAGAGATGTATCTGCATATAATCATAACATATTTCTGACAGTTTCTCCCACCTGCAATGAATAAAATATCTATCACTAAAAAAATGTGACAGCACTGGATAAATATAAGCAAAGGTAAAGATAAGAATGAGACAAAAATCAAATCCATAATTTCTTTATTCAGGCTCTCACCTCAAGTCAAATCATGTTAAATACTGGTGATAGTACCAAACACTACACGAGCTTGTGTATAATAACTAAGGTCCAGTGAAACTGGATAGATGCCTCAGCACAGCAACGTCTGAGCTGTAGAAACAGTATATCATCATGTTACAAAAATCCTACTTAAGTCTCAAGTAGCTGGGCACCTTTCTTCACATTTTAACACAACAAAAAACTCTAATAGCGAGTGTTTAAATACTTTTAGCTGCAAGTTGTGGGTTCTGGAAAATCATTTGTCCCACCATAAAAAGTGTTGTGGTTGAGTAACAAGGGTTGTGTTGCCGATTCAGTCTTACAGCCGGTCACTAGACCACCACAGACAAACATGAGAGTAATAATGACCCACAGCAGGGTGGTGACAACAAAGGCAAACTGGTAGGTTGTCTTGTCACAGTACCGATCTGCTCCAGGTGAGTAGTTGGGAGGATATACAGAATACACCCAGGAAGAGGCTACAGGAAAAATATGTAAGAGGTAAAAATTTATTTCAGGTTTTATTTGAAGCTATGAAGTAAATCAAACAGAGAGATTGGGATTTTAGAAATACTGAGGCCCAAATCTTTAAACACCCCACAAGACAAAATTACTCGTTTATTATTCATATTTTTATATTGTATTTACTGGGCATAGTAGTGTATTTAGTTACTGTATGTAGTATAGTAAAAAAGTATATTTTCCTCTGAACTGTAGTGAAATGAAAATGTAAGGTTGTATGAAATGGAAATAAAGTACTTGATTAAATGTACTTACATTTTATTACTGCCTGATTCCAAGCAAAAATATAGAGAATAGAGACATTTATGTGCATATAAATGTAACAAATTACTGACATTTTCTCCCACCTGCAATTAACCAGAAAAAAGCGAAGAGGTGCAGGATGTACATGCAGACTGAGATCAAGGTGTAGACACAGCCCTCTTTCCAGCTGCTCTTGGTGTAAGTCAGAGACAGGGAGAGGAAGTTGCTCACTCCCAGCACTAGCAGGTAAATGGGTATATACGGCTGCACAGGACAGCGGCTCAGATGAGTGGTCCCTGTGAAATGCCAGAAAAAGAAACCAATGTGAATATTAACAATTTGATCAAGACTAACAAGCTGAAACAATGCCTTCTGTGAAAAATCACAAATTAATCAACCTACCCAGTCCAATGGCTGCAATCATAACCATCCACCACATAATATTCACCACAACTACAAGAGAGGGTCAGGGTCAAGTATTTATATAACAATAAAAACATAAAATAGTGCAAAAGAAAAGCATGAATGTGGTGGAGAAGACATCTAACCAATTATCGAAATCAGCACAGCACTTTGAGGCCTGAACGCCACCTGTGGCAACTGGTTCATCTCTACAGAAAAAAAAGTCTTGTCACAATTACACACAGACATCAACAGGAAGTGGAGTTGCAGCAGTGTTATACTGTACCTGTCCAGTACAGGTCTGGAGACAAATCGTTATTCTTCTCCCAGAGTTAAGTAAATATAGAGCTATGCATGAGATCACATTCGCCACCTGTTAACAAAGTGTTAGCTTTAACATCTATTGCTATTTTGGCAGGATGTTAAAACATCTCATGCCAAAGAATTTCAACAAGTGTTTTGAAATGCTCTCTGTGTCTAAGAGGAAATTATAAAATCCGCTACTGTTATCTGATGCAAACTATGTTTTAAGCCACAAACCGCTCACATGGGATGGTGAGCTAGTTCTCTTGCAAACTACTACTCTGAAATTTTTTATTTGCACTTTGGCAGTTTTGGGGATTTCAAGGGCTCCATCAGTGTAATGCAGCACAGGAAAGACTCTGTGGTGCAGCTGCAGTACACAGACAGGAAAAACTGTATTATCAGCTCTCATCAACCCACCAGCTGAAATAGTTGTCCCGACAAGAGCCTGTCGAAAAATAATATATATTTATCACAACTAACTTTATTCATTTTCAATCAGTGTGAATACTTTATTACAACTCTAATGTAAATTTCTGATTTTTTAGTGTTATTAAAGATGATTACAAAAAGGGAAATGTCTGGTAGGAAAAAGTGCACAATCAAACAGGGATGACCACAGCCAGTAATACAATGTGATTTGTAGTCTCAATGTGCCAAAGAATGTGAGAGTACTCATATGGAAACTCAGTATTTTTCTCTGGACTGTAGTGAAATGAAACTATAAGGTTGTATGAAATGGAAATAAAACACTTGCATAAATGCCTGATTCCATGCAAAAATATAGTTTGGAGAGATGTATCTGCATATAATCATAACATATTTCTGACAGTTTCTCCCACCTGCAATGAATAAAATATCTATCACTAAAAAAATGTGACAGCACTGGATAAATATAAGCAAAGGTAAAGATAAGAATGAGACAAAAATCAAATCCATAATTTCTTTATTCAGGCTCTCACCTCAAGTCAAATCATGTTAAATACTGGTGATAGTACCAAACACTACACGAGCTTGTGTATAATAACTAAGGTCCAGTGAAACTGGATAGATGCCTCAGCACAGCAACGTCTGAGCTGTAGAAACAGTATATCATCATGTTACAAAAATCCTACTTAAGTCTCAAGTAGCTGGGCACCTTTCTTCACATTTTAACACAACAAAAAACTCTAATAGCGAGTGTTTAAATACTTTTAGCTGCATATGAGTTGTTAAACCCATTTTTCAATAATTATCTCCACAAATGAAAACAAAAACCCCTAAGCAGTAATGGCACAATCACTATGAGCACTATGAAAATTTGCAAAATATTTCTCTCCTGTAAAACCCATTATAAAGATAAATGCCTTAGATATTTAAAGACAAAAAGTAGGATATAAATCACACATCACCAGTTGTGGGTTCTGGAAAATCATTTGTCCCACCATAAAAAGTGTTGTGGTTGAGTAACAAGGGTTGTGTTGCCGATTCAGTCTTACAGCCGGTCACTAGACCACCACAGACAAACATGAGAGTAATAATGACCCACAGCAGGGTGGTGACAACAAAGGCAAACTGGTAGGTTGTCTTGTCACAGTACCGATCTGCTCCAGGTGAGTAGTTGGGAGGATATACAGAATACACCCAGGAAGAGGCTACAGGAAAAATATGTAAGAGGTAAAAATTTATTTCAGGTTTTATTTGAAGCTATGAAGTAAATCAAACAGAGAGATTGGGATTTTAGAAATACTGAGGCCCAAATCTTTAAACACCCCACAAGACAAAATTACTCGTTTATTATTCATATTTTTATATTGTATTTACTGGGCATAGTAGTGTATTTAGTTACTGTATGTAGTATAGTAAAAAAGTATATTTTCCTCTGAACTGTAGTGAAATGAAAATGTAAGGTTGTATGAAATGGAAATAAAGTACTTGATTAAATGTACTTACATTTTATTACTGCCTGATTCCAAGCAAAAATATAGAGAATAGAGACATTTATGTGCATATAAATGTAACAAATTACTGACATTTTCTCCCACCTGCAATTAACCAGAAAAAAGCGAAGAGGTGCAGGATGTACATGCAGACTGAGATCAAGGTGTAGACACAGCCCTCTTTCCAGCTGCTCTTGGTGTAAGTCAGAGACAGGGAGAGGAAGTTGCTCACTCCCAGCACTAGCAGGTAAATGGGTATATACGGCTGCACAGGACAGCGGCTCAGATGAGTGGTCCCTGTGAAATGCCAGAAAAAGAAACCAATGTGAATATTAACAATTTGATCAAGACTAACAAGCTGAAACAATGCCTTCTGTGAAAAATCACAAATTAATCAACCTACCCAGTCCAATGGCTGCAATCATAACCATCCCCCACATAATATTCACCACAACTACAAGAGAGGGTCAGGGTCAAGTATTTATATAACAATAAAAACATAAAATAGTGCAAAAGAAAAGCATGAATGTGGTGGAGAAGACATCTAACCAATTATCGAAATCAGCACAGCACTTTGAGGCCTGAACGCCACCTGTGGCAACTGGTTCATCTCTACAGAAAAAAAAGTCTTGTCACAATTACACACAGACATCAACAGGAAGTGGAGTTGCAGCAGTGTTATACTGTACCTGTCCAGTACAGGTCTGGAGACAAATCGTTATTCTTCTCCCAGAGTTAAGTAAATATAGAGCTATGCATGAGATCACATTCGCCACCTGTTAACAAAGTGTTAGCTTTAACATCTATTGCTATTTTGGCAGGATGTTAAAACATCTCATGCCAAAGAATTTCAACAAGTGTTTTGAAATGCTCTCTGTGTCTAAGAGGAAATTATAAAATCCGCTACTGTTATCTGATGCAAACTATGTTTTAAGCCACAAACCGCTCACATGGGATGGTGAGCTAGTTCTCTTGCAAACTACTACTCTGAAATTTTTTATTTGCACTTTGGCAGTTTTGGGGATTTCAAGGGCTCCATCAGTGTAATGCAGCACAGGAAAGACTCTGTGGTGCAGCTGCAGTACACAGACAGGAAAAACTGTATTATCAGCTCTCATCAATTCACATGCAATTTGATCACAAATTTTGCCTCCTAATATTTTCTGCTGAGTAGTTGGACACTACAAACTGAATGTATCTGCTTATATCTGCTTTCGTGTGTTAATAAGTCATATGCAGGAGATTTGTAACACCTTTGATCTGTTTAAAGGCTGTACCTACAGCATGAAACTATTAATGGCTTTGATGTAACAAGTGAGGATATACAATGCAAAGCAAATCCAGAATGAAGTATTACTGATCAGAAAGAAAACTGTTGATAATACTGAGGTGCAGGCTGCAGAAGTTTGCAATGTTGAGTTTAGAAGTAAAACCATGTGAAGACATCAAAGCCAAGATGAAATTAGCATTCTGCTTCAGTTTAAGTAAGTCATAGTACAACGGAAGTATAACAAATGAAGTGGGTTTGTGATGCAAAGGCTAGCACACTTGTTCCTTATCTGACAGTTGGGCGCCACTGTTAGGGTGATTTTTATTTTATGCACTTAAGAATGGTTTTATTTTATAGCACACATAAGTTTACATACTTATATGTCACTGTTATGTTTATATAGTTATGAATATCACTCTATGTGTTCACTGAACCACTGGTCAAATATTTGCTGTGTGAGTCACTGAAACACTAATGCAACATCATAAGTCTGGTCCACTAAATTATTGAATTTCATTAGATTTATGGCTGTAGCTAAGGGGGCTCATAGTTACTTATCGTTCCTCTGGACCGGTGGACCCAAAGGAGTCTTGGTACGGTAAGGCTCCAAGTTTATTAAAATAGATTAGACGTAGATGAGAAAGCTTCAAAGGGAGAACAGTTATGCACACACACACGCAGGCAGAACAGTTTTAATTAAGTGAAACGGAAAGCAATGCGTCATATGGAGCAGTTAGTTGAAACCAAAGGAAGAAGTGAGTGTGTATGTAGGAATTAATGTAGTATAGGTATTCTTCCCCTTTGTAGGGCACTGTCCACGATGATTGGAGCAGAGAGGACGATTGGAGGACGGACGGACTGAAGGACCAATAACGGGAGAGTTAAGTCTAAACCACGGCTTCTCCCCAACAGTTTTGGACCAATTAGATAGTAGTACCTTTTCATACAAATATTGTTAACCACTAAGTTGAGGTCAGTCTTTTCTGTTTATCCTAAACAGTAAAGATCCATGTGCACATGCTAATTTTGATACGTTAATGCATAATAAATTTCATACTGTGAAATATATATCCTCTTATTAGTCTTCTCTTTTCAATATAAAACGAACACGCCTCACACCACCTCACATACCAATGAGCCGGTAGAGGATGTTAGTGCCAATACAACCTGATGCCAAGCAGCTCTGCAGCAGCACTGCCCCTCTGTGACAAAGACACATAACCGCTTACATCCATTCTGGCTCAAACTGCTGGTTGCCGTTCAAACACACAAAACGACAAAGCTTGGCAATGACCTCAGCAAAGTCAACAAACCTCTATCAGGTGTTGGACTGGTGGCAGTTTTCCCAGCTGGAATGATGAAATGTTATTTATGTAGCTCATTTTGGCTTTACCACAATGATGTATATTCACAAAATGTGTGAAAACAGCAATTATAATATGTCATATCAGTTTCCACAGCAGTTTATTACTGCACAAAACTCCACAATGTTGCCATTTCTGATTGACTTTTATTTTGGTGAATGACACAATGAGAAGTTTTATCTGAGGTATAATTTAAATCAAGAACATTTCAATAAAGCTAAATCTGAACAACAACTGCTATATTTGGTGTCCAAACAAGATGCCTCATTGATTGCACTATCACTGACAAGCCTACTCTTCATATCATCACTGACAAGCCTACTCTTCCTTCATATCAAGTAAATTCAGTTGATGTTAGCTCAGATAATATTAAAAAGTTTAGTTAGTTTCTTTCTCAGCAAAGAAATTGTGTGTTTCAAACTTGCCTTGCTAAAACTTGGGATAAAGGCTTGTCTTGTCTTTACCATCTCTTTTAACTGGAAGTTAGTGATCATTTGAATAATAGGAGCAGCAGGAAAGTCTATGCATATGATTCCAAGGCGCTGGTTCAGGCTAGTCTTGGCCCTCAGGTAGTCATACAGTTTAGCATTGACGCGCTTAGCCACAATTCTTGGGTACGCCAACCAACCAGCTCCACTACTGTAGGTGAGAAAGATCTGTGCCTTGTTTCCTACAGGTGCAGCCTCCAAGTGTTCATAGACGCTCTGCCATTTCTCCTCCACATGCAGAAGTGTGGGAACCTACAAGGAACAGCAACTGTTTAACTGTTTAATTACTCAAAAAGCATTAATTTCATTCTAAAAATATAGCAGGACTTATACATTTTGATGTATCGATTTAGATGCAGGTGTGATCTGGACACAGTCATATGTTTTGGACAGACATTTGGACAGAGGTTTTTTTATTTGAAACATTTCAAGTGTACATTCAACTAAGTAGCACATTTTTTTATCCTTTGCTGCACTGACTGTTTGCTTGACAACTGATTCTCTGCACCACCATCTAAACGCTGGCTGGAGGATGTATTCAAACTCAGCTTGCTTCATTTTTTTTCTTTTTGCTCTGATTTAGGCTGGAGTTGATTTTGCTGTGTGTAGGAGGATTTTCATACCTTCCACTTGTCTGCTATGTCCAGAGAACCATAGCGCATGCCCAGATCTGGCCCAGAAAAGTCTTGCAGGATGATAAGTTTCCCTCGGACCTCGCCCATGGTTGGCACAAGTCGGCTGTGCCACAGCAAGTCCCAGTGAGCGTAACGGTGGATGTAGTCTACTACAGCACCATAGATATCATGTGTTTCACTGAACTCTTCCCTTATGCGCATCAGCACTGTCTCACTGGGATACTCTTGCAGGAAGTCAGTGACACCCTGCAACACTTGGCCGAAGTGAGCCTGCTGGTAGGCAACCTCATGGTGGATGGTGAGGTTTCCCATAACATTTCGCACACGGATATCCAAGAAGCGGACACCTGCTCGGAGCTGGGAAGCCAGGGTCCAGGTCTGGCATTCAGCATACACACCACCGTAGCGGGCCATGGTGTTGTGGGTCCCAGGCATGGTGACCTCAGATAGTAGCTGATCGTCAGGGATCCTGGCCATCCAGGATGGGTTGAGGAATTCTGGGTTGCCTGTGTCATCATAATCAGGCCTCTGGATGGCACCGTAGCTCAAAGCAAAGAATCTAAAACATAAATTTTTTTTGCCAGAGACAGATTTTGTCTAGTAAATCTATCAGCCTTTAAAGATCTGTCTCCTTGCAAGTTTTCTTGTTCTCCAATAAAGTCAAAGGTTAGGGGGGGCGGGTTGGAGTTTGTTTCAGAGGTCCTTGAAACCATAACTATGATTACTGGTGACAAAAAATGTTTGTCCAATTTAACAACAAAAATGTAATTTCAGCACTCACATGGTTAAATTAGTTTGATGAAAAATGGAATGACAGTAAAATTACAAATAATGTGATATAAAACAGACAATTTTAATGCTTTTGTACAATGTCTTGTACAATTCTTGATATTTACATTTATTTATTAATGTGTTCCACATATAACACAGATAAAACTGCCCATGCAAGGATAAATAACATTGTGTGTTATGTGTGATTGATCGGTGGCATTATTCCAACATACTCACCCCAGCAGAACCATCAGCTTAGTTAACATCTTGTACATTTTCATTGGACCTCCCCTCGTGTTGCTCATCATGTCAGATTTTTCAGTTCTGAAAACAGGGTCTATTATCAACAGGGGTAAAGGCAAGAATAGTACAACTCAGTTCAACATTTAGTTGAACAAGAATGTAGCCAATAGGGCAGGATGGATGGATGGATAGATAGCTATATAGATAGAGTAACCTAAACATCGATTCTGACCTGCTGATTTTGGAGGATGTTTACTTCACTCACACTGCACCTGTTTAAATCAACTAATAAATGCATCAAGTATTATTTTAAAACATTATACTGATATGCAGCATTTTCCTAACTAAATGTTGATAGGACACATCTAAGATATTGAAAATGTTGTTCAAAGAAATTAAATATCAGGTTCTTTCCTCAGTTGACACAGTAAATACAACTCAGTCTTCCTCTTTCTTGCTGTCATCACCTTGTCCTCTGTACTCCTGGTTACTGGGTGTTTTGATCAAATTAAAATGGCCAAAATATACATTTATCAGAGACACATAATGCATTTTGGATAGAACTTTAAGTAAATTGTTATTTGTGCAATATATGACTTGAATAAAACAGATTAGAAAATAAAATTCAGTTTCCCCTCAATGCTAATCCTCCCCCAGGCCACTATACACTCACATATTACTAATAAAAAAAAAGAAAACACGCTTTCCTTTGATCAAAGTGTGCCATTCAGTATAAAAGCCAAACAAACAGTGATCCCAGTCTAGGCTGAGTTCAACCTCAGCTCACCCCTCTCCAGGCAAATTCAATGGCAAGTTTAAACCTTTCAAATCCCCAAACTGAGCCAAAGCACTCCCTGCTGCTGTGCCAAACCTGCTGATATGTTGACGTGCTGCTCTCATCCGCTCCTGTTCATACCTGAAACTAGATGTGCTTGTCCTCCTCAGTCTGGTCCGGCAGCTTGGGGACGACAAACAGAAAGAGATACAGAGAGAGAAATAGAGGAGTCAGAGACAAAATGAGTTTGTGTGTCCACCCGGGATGTTAGTGTGACAAATGCTGTAGAGGAGCAGCTGAGCTCTAAATTGGCACAGTAGGGTGGGAGTAGAGGGATGTGTTTGTGTGTGAGGGTGGGGGCCAGGAGGGTTTGAAGGGTATGTGAATTAATCTGATCATGTCCTTCATTTCTCTTGGTTCAGAAACACATGGCATCATAGACTGACTCAGAGTTTTCTCATATCAAATCAAGTCGAAGTAGAGGATAATAAAATGCATTAAATTTATCATGTGAATGATGTCTTTGATTCTGGCCACTGCAAAAATTTATCAAGAGTCCACTTTGTATATCTTAGTCTTGCTGTAACACTTTATTGTATAGTTTGAGATTTATAGTATTTCATGCATTTGTATTATTTCAATATCAAACATCTATTGTTGATTGCACAGATGGAAAAAATACTTTAATGAACCTATATCACAATGTATGCCACTGCAAGTAAAAGTACTGCATTCAAAATCCTACTTACATTGTACAGGAGAATTATCAACAGAATGTACTTAATGTACCAAAAGTAAAAATCTTTATTCTACAGAAAAATGGCCAATGGTATAAAATGATATTACCCATTTGTAGTTAACAGTGCTGGATCAATGTTGCAGCTGGTTGAGGAAGGGTTGATTTCACTACTTACCACTTAGAATGCAGTTAGGTCGTTTAGTCTAGCAGTTCCCATCTGAGGGGTTGCCTCCTCCAAAGGAGAAGACTGAAGGGCAAGTAGCAGCTGTTATATTATGCAAATGTAAGCACATGCACTTTATTTGAGATTGTCTTTCTCTACTATGATAGCAGTTTAATGAAGACTATAGCTTATATCACCAACTACCCGCAAAAGGACTACTGAATCAGGTAAATGCACAGATCTCAGAGAGGAGTGACATCATGATGACAAATAAGCTTCATATTTTTGGATGAGCAGTCCATAGATCAGTTCATCTCAGTGCATTTCATCCCCTCAGAGGAGACAAGCTGAGGGATGAAATCCTTTGCTCTGAGGGGTCAGGGAGAGTGTATGAGTACAGTACTCTGCAGAAAAAGCTGCAGATGTTTCCCAGTTTTATCTCATAACTATGTGAGAAGTCAAACATAACACAACAGGCTTGCCCTTGTACTGCTGAATAATATTTGGTCAGCTGTAAATACAGGCTGTATACCCAGAGTGTACAGAATAAAAATTCCTGCATTTTTATTATATAATCAGGGCTGATAAACACAAAAAATGTTAAAGCGTCCCTTAACTTTTACCAAAGCAATGCGAACATTGACCATTTGTTAGGGTTCAGGCTGTGTGGGGACCCAAACAAATATTTATTCAAAATAAGGAACAAAGGTCCTGGGTGCTCTACCTGACAGGACTGAACTAATGAAAAAAGGTAAAGGAAATAAAAAAAAAAAAAAAAAAAAAAAAAAAACTAAGCTCAAAACGGGAAAAGGGCAGGAACAACAAACATAATTGAATCGACAGTCAGTGTCAGGTCATCACCAGCTTTCCTCCAGCTGATAGCGTTTTTAGTAACACTGGTTCACCACAAATTTTTTTTATTTATTTCATTTGTATTTCAAATCCTTGGCAAACAAACCCAAATGTACCTGCTCGATAACTAATGATACAGGTGAGAAAGTATATCATTACACTTTATATTCTAGTGCTCCGTGAGTGCAACTGCAAGACTATTAGTCTAGGCAGATAGTGATGAAATATTACCAACTTGTTATTGATTCTGAATAAATAAAGTATTCACAGCATTATCAGTGATACTCAGATATAAAACAATTCAAATGATTCTGCTTCCTGGTTGTGTGTGACACTGTCTTTCACTTCTGTACAGTGATAATCTCTGTGGTATCTGGTCACCCATACTGGTTTGGGAGGTGTGGGGACCTACAATTAAAACAACATAATGAACAGGATATTCGGTCATCTGGTGCCTGTGTTGCTGCCTTTGGTTGGATCTTGAAGCTGTCCAATCAGCACAGGGTATGAACGCGTCACTTCCTTATGTTTGCTCCCTTATTTGGCAGGAAGGGATTGCCCCTTTGTTGACTAGGGAGGAAAATGGTGGAAAGCAAAGTCAGACAGCTTCATTAGACAGCGGGATACTAACAGTTTTATCTCTGGTGAGTAAACGTCTCCCGTCTCAATGTTTTGTAATCTATGCTTTGCAGCATGTTTGAATTCTGGGTGATAGCTGAGTCAGCTAGGACTCGTGACATTAAGTACATAATGATTCATAGGTGTGTGCGTGTGGTTGGAAATCAGGAAGTGAGGGAAACCAGCTCGTAAACACAACAGCAGCACAATCCTGCATGAAGGCTAAAGGTGCCAAATAACTACTGCAGGTTATCTGAGCTGTTAAAAATGAGAGCTGGAAGGCCACAACCTGTAACCAATTGTTTATTTCCAGTCATTCTTGTGTAACTACCAGCCACAGACACACCCACTGTTGTCCCTGACTCATTTTTCCAGCAGGACAGCATTGAGAAGTATGATTAATATCAAAACTATGAGAAAGATGAAGTACAGTTGTATTTGGGTCTGTGGTCTCAGGAACCAGTAGATAATTGCTGCTCAGGTTATAGAATTCAGCACTTACTGTAAGTGCTTTATTATGAGCAATAGGTTATATATTTGTTCCACAGCAGCATTCTAGTTTGCTTTATTTTAAACTGAATGCTTAATTTTGACTTTGTGGAGAAAGGAAAAATGTTTCCACCAGAGCCCCACCAATAAGTCAAAACAACTAATAGGCAACTATTTTGATGACTGATTGTTTAGGAAATTTTATGTGTAAAATGTTTTTAAAAAATCACAAGTTACAGAATATTTGCTGGTCTTCTTGGACTTTTATGATATTAAATTATATATCTGTTGATCCGACTAAACCAAAAATTTTAATATGTTGACTTGGGCCTTGAGATTTTTCTTTTACTATTTCCTGATTAACCAAGAAAACAATAGTAAGTTTAATCAATGAGGAAAATGTTTTTTTTTTTCTCCTCTAAAGCCTTGTCTCTTCCTCTGCTCGCCTGCTGAGGCTCTGTGTATCACAGCAGACATTGTGACCTGTTGCTGGTAACATTAGAGTGTAAGATGACACCTTTGCAATATGGCAAGCGAGCAGCAGCAGCAGCAGCTGGTGACATTTGGGCTGCAGGCTGATCAACCTGAGAGTTACTCTTCATCTTAATTTTTAGTGTAATGCAAGAAAAAGCGATATTTGAGAGTCTTTGTGACCACATTTTGGGTTAAAGCTTTCCTTTACTCCATCCAGAAAGGTTGTGGTCAGACGCTGATGTACAATGCAGAGTAATGATTCAGTCTTACTGAACATATGTGGCTTTTTTCATCTCTCCAGGCTCACTTTGTGTGAAACTTAAAGTGACAGAAGAGAAGCAGCAGTGATGGCTGATGCAGAACAGATCAAGAAAACTGCAGCAAAGGTGCTGTGCTGTGTGGAGAAGGTGTCCTCCTTTGCCTCTTCCATTGACCCCATCTTTGGCATTGTCTCCTCACTAGTTGGGGTGGCTCGCAAGGGCCTGATGGCTGAAGAGGGCCATCCGCTGGAAAAGGACTTCCAGGCAATCCACTCCAAGCTGGAGAGCATTTCCCAAAAGAACCAGCAATGCCTGAGGCAGCTCCGTGTTGACGAGGTTAACGAAACCTATGGCAAATATGAGGAATACATAAAGCACCAGTACAATGCCTTCAACAAAATGGTGGCACAGGTGAAGAAAGATCCGGACAACACCCAGCGTTACATGAAGGCCTTTGAGAGGATTTATGAGAGAGACAAGAGCGACATGAGCCTGGATGTGTACTACCGTGGTGTGATGGGAACCAGCTCGCTGTTTGGAAGACCCCTGCTGAAGGTATACCTGGAACACTGCGAGGGTGACCGTGAAACCATGGAGTACCGCTGCTCACACATTACCTACCTGTTCCACATGGGCCTCATTGCACTCATGGGCTACACAGCTGTTACAGAGGATGATGAAGATGAGGTGCGAGAGAAGTGGGCTAAGAGGGTGGATGACATCCAGAAGAAGATGCAAGAGGTCCTCAGCCAGTGCAAAGACAAGTCGTCCTAAACATGGAACAGCAGAGACAGGATGTCCTCTGGGTCTGAAGGCAGAAATACAGGGAACAGCATCTGTTCTCTCTGTGGGCAAATGGGGCACAAAAAACAAATTATGGTATCATATAAATATAAAAATATATATATATATATAGGTAAAACCTAAGCCATGCTTTAATTTGTGCACTTGAGCTGAATTTGATATTCTAATTGCAGCATTTGGTTATTGTACCACTATTGTATGTTACTTTTTAGTTTCAAAGAGACTATTATATGTTTATGCTGCTTTTGTGTTATAGTACATGTCAATAAATGCTGTTTTATACAGTCTCTTCAATTATAAGATATAAATTATTACTTGAATAAGGTGTATAATTTGTGAAATTGATTTGACCTACACCAAAACAATGCTTTCTACATAAAAGGTCATATTTTTCTAGTTGGTAAAATATCTCATAAGGCCTTCTATAAGGGCCATTGAACTGTAAAGCCAAACCTCTGGCTGCAGGTGATTCCAGAAACAAATTTATGCTGTTCAGCCAAAAACTGTTCAAATCTCCAACACATTATTTTAAATGCTTTTCTCTTTTTGTCATGTATGACATACAAATGTTGAAATGACAATAAAAATTTTGAACATGAACCAGCATTTCCAAAGGCACCGGATACTGGGGAATTATATATGTCAGGCTGAATTTTGGGAAAATTAATGAAAAGACTTCAGGCTATATGATCCTGTCAAACAGTGTCATATGGAGGCACAGTATTTATTATTAATCAATGAAGACATTTAGAAAAATAAAATGAATGAATGCAGGCAAAATATAAGAGACAATGTATAAGATACTGGCTTTTGCTTAAACAAACAGCTAATCCTATAACTGGATCTCCTGTTTCTCATTATTGGCAAACAGCATAGATTAAAATTACCACTGCAAAAAATGAACTTGACAAAAAGACATTTTGTAATAAAGACAGCTGGAATAAAAATGATCTGCAGCAAACAATATTATTGTGGAAAGAAAGATGAATTAACATTTCATAATAACAAGCCAAGTTTTAGACTTTAATTGAATTATTTATCTCTTTAAAATATATATTTTATGCTTAATTTGTTATCACCATGCTTTTATTTTTTTTCACAATTGTTAATAGTTTGTTTATTATTCATTACTGGACACTTTGGGTCTCCCAAGGGTGGAATACAGCACGTTTAGCTGCAGGCCGCACTGAGTCCCCCTCACCGCCAGGGGCCGCTGTTTCCCGAACGGAGCTGCTGTAATGAAATGTAACGTGATTCCCCTGTTTGTCTCTGTAGACCTGCCCCAAAGGCCTGCAGCTACTTGTAAACAGGCATCTGCTCCTGAAATGTTCCTGCAGCGGTGTCCCGGGTGCGGACCGGGACTTTTAATACAGTAAAGACCCAGTGAAAGCTGAGAGGAGCCGCGTCTGGCCTGTTTTGTTACAGTTACGTCGCTTTCGGTGAGTTTCAGTTGCTCAGCGAACGGAGAAGCGGTGATAAGGACTGCGGCGTCCCGGCTACAGCGGCCGATTAAGTTCAAAAAGTTGATCGTGTTTGGCAACAAAATGTAACAAAACTGCATATATCCGGCAGCACAGCGTGTAAACAGTTTGCAAATTCTTTGTGTAATAACTATAAAGACAACAGCGAGTTTGGTTTCCGGGGCGTGTCCTTCTTTTGAACTCAACAAGTTGGTTTCTGAACTGATGGTTAAATGGCGAAAATTTAACTTTTCGGCACGTAATTTCATTGTTAACGCCTTGCACAGGGACCTCATAAGTCTGTTTGGTTTGCCTGGTTTGTTATTGTTTATTTATTTTTGTTTATCGAGTTCTCTAGGTCAAATCTTTTTTTTTTTTTTTTTAGAATGGCTTAAGCCTGAACTCTGAATCTAAATTGTACACAGATGCAGGTACATTTTTATAACATTTTATGAACGTGTGAATACAGCGGTGGTCTTAGCAATTAGGCTACATTGTAAAATTTTGATTATATTACACTGTCTCCTTTTAAATGCAGTGACTTTATATTATTTTTGCTGGATAATTATTACCAAGGAGTAATAAGGATAAATCTTTGATATGCGACTATGAATGTAGCTTCTATTCCTTCTGTATCTTAAAAGCGGCTTTATGATTAGATTGTAACATTCTCTGCAGTTAATTTGACCAATATGATACATTTTCTCAGACAACCACAGTCCTAGCTTTTGTCAGCTTATCTTTTGTATGAGAGTCTCAACAAACATTAATATCATAACACTACATATTAAATCACATGTCATTAACCATGGGCTGTGAATATTGGTCACTAAGGAGGTGATGGCTTCTGATATTATCATTAGGTAATGTGATATTACTCTGGTATTCAGTCAAAAGTATATTAATAACATGCAAGCTGGATGCTAGTGTTTTCAGGATGAAGTGACTCATGTCATCCAGTAAAATAACGACCTGATAATGTTTCCTTCACTGGTGACCTTATGTTTCAGGCATGCCTCTCCACAGCATTTGGCCTTTGTGTAGGATGTTTTGTCAGGACTGAAGAGAAGTCAGCATGATGGGCAACGAGGACAGCCTTGAGGATGTCTTTGTTGCTGTTATCCGCCCAAAGAGTCAAGTCAGCCTGAGCTCAAAGGAGTACAGAGCCAAAGCCTTTGAGGTAAACGTGCAGAGTCTGATATTGGTTCTCATCAACACCTAGACCAAAACCACAGAACAAATGTTACAGTATAACACAAATAATACATTTGAAAAACTGCTTTTTTTCCTGTGGATCCTGTAAAGATCCTGTTGATAGAGGTGCCTTTAGAAGGGAAGGAGAAGAAAAGAAAGAAGGTCCTCCTGGTGACAAAAATTAAAGCAGGAGGAGACAAATCCAAATCCATATTGGATTATGTTGATGAAACAATCAGGCCGATATCCAATAATCAAGGCTTCATAGGTGAGTCTGACAAATCTTTAACATTTACTGACTTTCACTAACTTTTTGGCTCATGCTCCCATGCACATGTCTATGAATTGTGAGCAGTGCAACCAAAGTCTGGCATTACCTTCTCAGACTATTTAGTCTGAATAGTTTTCAGAGGTTTAGAAACCACTGTTTTGGTTTGCGTGCCAGTCAGTGTTAAAGGTTAGCAAAAGAAATAATTTTTTTATGAAGCTGACCTTTTTAAAAAACAGTTAAACTGTACATATTGTATATTGAATGTCTTAATTTCTGCTGAACAGACAATAGCAAGCCTGTCTATAGTGCTGGGAGCCCCAGCTTCTACTGCTTCCAGGACATCATGCGGGTGTGCAGTGAGACAAGCACTCACTTCTGTTCCATCACCTCCAAGATGCTTCTGGCCTTAGACAAGTGAGGATATATTTGAAATCATGCTCTTTCTTTTGCAAGTAAATGACACTGGGATGAGTCTTTGACGTTGCCTCTTTGGCCTCCACAGATGGTTAGCGGAGCAACACACAGTGCCTCATGCCGTCCCTGCTTTGTTCCGGCCAGCACCCGTAGAGCGGGTCAAGACCAATGTCAGCAACCCGGCCTACGGCAGCGAGGGCAAACTCAGTGACGAGGGTCTGCACATGGGCTACACTGCCCTGGAGATCAAGAGCAAGATGATGTCTCTGGAGAAGGCAGACATGTGCATCCTCAACCCACTCTATGGCTCTGATCTGCAGTACACCAACCGGGTGAGAGAATGAGATGTCTATGTAAAGGGGACTGTTTCTACATTAGGACATCTGGCGGATTTTTTTTTTTTGACAAGACTTAAAAGACTAGAAAATAGATGCAACAAGTTATGATATTGATATTTATCTAAAAGATTAATTGCTGCAAAGAATGACATTTTTAGAATAAAAAAAGTGCTTTTAATGATAGAAATTTAGGATTATCTTTTCACTGGAACTTAAATGGCCTTCCTTTTGTTTATGTCTGCAGGTGGACAAAGTTATCATCAACCCATACTTTGGGCTTGGAGCACCAGACTACTCCAAGATCCAGATCCCCAAGAGGGAAAAGTGGCAGCATGGCCCCAATTGTGTGGCAGAAGACAAGTGAGAGTTTATTTCTCAAATGAACCACATTGTCGTTATTTTCCACCTTAGCTCCTCTATGTCTTATATCTCCTTTCTTTCTGTGGCACATTCACCTCATTTGTCTCAAAAACTAAACAAATTAAATTATACATCATTTTTCATAGGGACCGTCAGTGGGTGGATGACTTCCCCCTCCACCGCAGTGCCTGTGAAGGAGACACGGAGCTGCTTTCTAAGCTCCTGGACAGTGGTTTCTCAGTCAAGCAGCTGGACAGTGACCACTGGGCTCCCATTCACTATGCCTGCTGGTGGGTCTGGTAGCTGTTTTGAGAAAGTCTCAAGTATCCACAAGTTCTTATTTTATTTTGGTTCGTCTTTAATGCTCAGTTTTGTTTGGTTTCATCCAGGCACGGTAAAGTTGAGGCGACCAAGCTGTTGCTAGAGAAAGGTAACTGTAATCCAAACTTACTGAACGGCCAGCTCAGCTCCCCTCTGCACTTTGCAGCAAGAGGAGGCCATGCAGAGATAGTGCAGCTCCTGCTGCAGCACCCTGAGATTGACCGGGTATGACATGACATGTCATGTTCATGTGTTGTTTAGTTCTCATCTTCTTTGTAGTGGACATTTATCAAATGGCTCTTCTAATTTTACCTACAGTAGATATTGGTGTCATGTTATGGTGTTAACTGCTTAATATTGGCAGTTTATACATATGTATTTGTAACTCTCGATGCTGATTCTTCTCTCAAAAGCACATAGATGACCAGCAGAAGAGATCGCCTCTGCAAGTGTGCGAGGAGAACAAACAGAATGAATGGGAGGAGACAGTGAAGCTTCTGCAGCAAGCAAGCAGCAAACCTGTGAGTTGTACAGCATACACCACACCAAAGTGTGATGGAAACAATTGGATTTAGCAAATACTCATCTCATTCTCGGCCATATCCAGCTGGCTCTGGGTACTCTTTTGTTTGTTTGTTTCTGTTTTTAAAATATGGTATACTATAAACATTCAATACAAATGACATTAACAGGCTTTTTTTATTCATATTTGTGCCTTAGAATCAAGATATTTTGCCCAAAGTGTCCACCAGATTTTATTAAAACTCATTTTATTTTTCAGTTAACAAAAAACTAAGTTGTTTCACATTGCTTTGTTTATGATATGTGTGTGTGTTCCACAGTATGAGAAGGTGCGTATCTACCGCATGGACGGCTCGTATCGCTCTGTGGAGCTGAAGCACGGCAACAACACGACAGTGCAGCAGATCATGGAGGGCATGCGTCTTTCTCAGGACACCCAACAGTACTTTACCATCTGGATCTGTTCTGAGAACCTCCGTGAGTCCACCAGTTAAATGTGTAGAACATGCTCTCAAATTCATCCTGTGAGCAAAAGTTTGGTAAAAGTTCTGTAAAAAGATTTTTAGAGCTATAAAAAAATGTTAACAGTCTGCTCAAGAAGGAATTGTTCATTATCATAATTTCTCTATTCTTAGTTAAATTTTTTTTATTTATTGTGCTGTCATTTCCTAAATGCATTCAACAAACAGGGTGTGTGTGTGTGTGTGTGTGTGTGTGTAATGTCAGACCTGCAGCTGAAGCCATACCACAAACCCCTGCAGCACCTGCGGATCTGGACAGAGATCGTGACGGACCTGACGGTGCTGGATCCTCAAAGGGAAACACCTCAGCTCTTTCTTCGGAGAGACGTCCGGTTGCCTCTTGAAATCGAGAAAAAGGTTGTTCGCACTTTACAAGATTATAGTCATTTACATTTGTTGTTTATATGTGGCATAAAAAGTCATCAGAAATGGTCAGGCACAGAACAGCTGCTAGGGTAAAAGTTCTGGAAATGGTTCTGAGTTGCTGATGATTGATGTAGGTCAGGTATTTGAGAATCAGTCTTCACTCTTCTACTTACTGTTTTGTTCCAGGTGGAGGATCCGCTGGCCATCCTCATCCTGTTTGACGAGGCACGCCACTGCCTCCTCAAGGGCTTCTTTCCTGCTCCAGACAGCAAGCTGATCACATTGGCCAGCCTCCTCCTGCAGATCATCTACGGCAACTATGAGAGCAAGAAACATAAGCAAGGCTTCCTCAAGTAAAAGACCGTTTTCAAATTATATTTGTACTTAAATAATAGCACATATGAGTGGAGTAGTGAGAATTTCTGCACCTCGCCAACGGAGCTGTTCACCCGTTCAAAGCTGCACCAGGGCTTTCTGCTCATTATCACTCAGCGCTCAACTCAGATTACATCCCGCTCCACTCCAAACAAGGGGATAGAAATCTGCAGGTACTTCACTTTTAGCTTAAACCATAGTCTTACATCCCAAAGAACTAAAGAACGGCGACTTTTTTCCAAATAGAAATTATTTCAAATTACAGTTAGGCCTGTGTAAGAAGGAATAGAACACAAAATCATTTGTAAAATTCATCAAATCAGTGGTCTCAATTAAATAAAAATATACAGTATAACTGTATAAACACTGCATTATGTGGAGTAGTGAGAATTTCTGCACCTCGCCAACGGAGCTGTTCACCCGTTCAAAGCTGCACCAGGGCTTTCTGCTCATTATCACTCAGCGCTCAACTCAGATTACATCCCGCTCCACTCCAAACAAGGGGATAGAAATCTTCACCCGCTCAAAGCTGCACCAGGGCTTTCTGCTCATTATCACTCAGCGCTCAACTCAGATTACATCCCGCTCCACTCCAAAAAAGGGGAAAGAAATCTGCAGGTACTTCACTTTTAGCTTAAATCGTAGTCTTACATCCCAAAGAACTAAAGAACGGCGACTTTTTTCCAAATAGAAATTATTTCAAATTACAGTTAGGGCTGTGTAAGAAGGAATAGAACACAAAATCATTTGTAAAATTCAACAAATCAGTGGTCTCAATTAAATAAAAATATACAGTATAACTGTATAAACACTTTAGGAACTGCATTATTGAGATCACAATGGCCAATTCTTCACTGAAAAGTGTTGGATGACCCTGCAAGACATAGATACATTCTGCTGTGAGTGATACCGGAGCAAAATTGGAGCAGGACAAGGGTGACGCTCCCTCCTTTTAAAAAAGACACTGCGCTATGTCCAAAATCTGCCTGATCATGCTTCCTGCTCACTCTCGCTCCGCTCTGCTTACATGCTCTGGTCAGGTGCAGTACAATTAACATTTTTATGCACTTTCTATGGCATGTCACAAAAATTGTGATTTAAAAAAAATGTTTTTAATAACCTTGGTTTCGTAAATACTTAAGGGTTTTGAATCACAGGTTTCTATTTTATTTCAACAGTGAGGAAAACCTAAGGTCAATTGTGCCGATTTCTAAGGTGAAAAGCAAAGCATACCACTGGACCAACAGGATTCTTCATGAATACAAAGTACACTTGTGTTGTTTTTTTTTTTATTGTAAATATTCTTTTCACCTTTTGAAATCCAGTGGAGCTGATCTGCTGTTTTTCCCCTCTCCCTCTGCGACAGGCTCTGAGCACCAGCGAGGGAGTGAGCAAAGAGATGCACCACCTGCAGCGACTCTTCCTGCAGAACTGCTGGGACATCCCGACCTATGGGGCAGCCTTCTTCACAGGCCAGGTCTATACCAAGGCCAGCGCCAGCAACCACAAAGTAATCCGTGTCTATGTCGGGGTCAACACGAAGGGGCTGCACCTCATGAATATGGAGACCAAGGTATCACACCATGTGTTAAAATAAAATAAAAAACAACTTACTTACTGAACTGAACATGTGGAATGATGCTTGGTCTGGTAATTTGTTAATGTCTTCTCTCACAGGTCCTTCTCATCAGTTTAGAGTACGGCACATTCATGTGGCAGCTTGGACACGCTGACCAGTACTTCCAGATACACAGCGGTGACAACAAAATGAACTTCATTGTCCACACAAAACAGGTGACTGTTCTGAGATGTTTCCAAAGCCATTCAAATGCTTCCAGGTTGTTTTAAAAATATATTGCATTTTTGTGAATGACACTGATATTAGAATTATACAACCCATCATAAATATCACAAACTCAGAGTTAATTTATAAAACTAAATATTTTGATTACAGTCTTTTCTCAAGTATGACAGCTACAGTTTTACATGTTGAAATGATTAACACAGCTAAAATATGAAAACCCTGTCTCACTGACATTCATTATTTCTCCACAGGCTGGCCTTATTGTGAAACTTTTAATGAAGCTGAGTGGACAGATGACTCCAAGCGATAAAACTGTTACTGAAAAACATGCTTATGGCTGAAAAAGTGTTGAAGAAACCACAGCTGCCAAAGATGCTGTGCAGGTTCTTCTTACTGACTCTAATATGACAGCAATAACTGCGGATAGGGAACAAAGTCCGCCTCCCTGCAGATGCCTCACTTTGAACAGAAGGCTTAACCAGTATTTTTCACAAGGTCATATATTTTCATTGCATGTACTGTAAATATGTTTATTATTTAATATTTTGTTTTAATAAACGAATCGATGTATTGATGAACACGTAGTTGTCTTCTTTGTTAGAAAATTTTAAACAATGTGATTTTAATTAAAATAAACAAATACTGTATCATGTATGGAAAATTAGGAAAGAAGAATATATGGATGCTTTGTATCATCACAAAAAAATCCAAAACCCAAGTCCTCAGCCAGAGATGACAGACTTAGACTTTGTACCATTACAGGATAATTATTCTGAAGTGTTATAGAGGTCATATATTATGCCATATTTGAGTACTAAACAAAATACTACATGACATTAATAACCTGGTCAAACAAGAATATTTATAGTGTTAATGCATAGGAAGCTACTGCTTGTTTTGTGAGGCACATAAGGGTATTTATAGTCATGTAAATAAAATGAACAAGGTTGACTGAATCCACAGAAACAGATTTTAAACATTGATTTTTTTTGACTTGGTTATATTCTTTTGCAGCCTTAAAACATTGACATTAAATATAAACTGTACGTTTATTGACATGAATATTCAATATCGTTTTCTCATCTTAGTTACAAGTTACGAGAATTAACGCGCAACTCTGCTAATTTCATGGAACAACAGAGGACACTGTTAGTGTTAGCTAATGTCGGTAGTCTACACTGGACGTCCAATAAATGATCAGTGTATCCTGTAATGTTATATGTCGGTACCGCTGTACAATGAAAACATGTGGAATCACTCACATGTGAGTGTGTTTTAAAGCAAAAAAAACTATTTATAAATATTAGGTCTCCCAGAACTGACCATTATAATCTTGGGGGGTGACATCAAATAGCAAGACATCGGTTCAGGTAGCATCAACCAATCA